AAAAACACGGAGAAACTCATTTTCCCTGCCCTGCCTCAAATATTTTGTGCACACACTGAGTGCAAAATACACTTAATCCCATGTTATATGTTCTCAGTACATTTTTTGATTGTTTTGTCAGATGAAGGCACTTTGTGTATTTGTGACATATGGAACAAGTGGCACATCTGCAGTTTTTTTCCTTTGGAATATCTTCTGAACAGCACCCCAACTTTTCTGGAATCACGTTATCAGACACACCCTCATGCTGTTTTGTATGCATTTTCCACTGCTCTAGAAAATCCACAAAGTGTAGACAGTCTTACTGAAAATGATTTCCACCAAAGAAACAGTCGTGACAAGCAGATTATCCTGAGGAACCATAGCATGTTTTATTAAAAGAAATAAAAGAAATAAATCACACATACTTTTATTTTTTACTCCCTGATAATGCATTAACAGGGCACGTCTGTACCCTTAAACTGGCAGAAATGTGTTGTGCAAGTTTAAAAGTTGCGTCACTTGTGGTAACCGGCATATCAATCAAAATCTACCCATCAGAAAAGGAAGAGCACAGACATGGACGCAGAGATATTTAGACATGCTATAAATATCTCTGTAGAGTCCAGCTGACTCACATGTGAATATATGCAGGATGTGCACACATTGCAATGTTCCCTGGTCGACATAAGATAAAAATTTAAAGATTTTAAATGAGATTTCTTTTTGATTTTATTTGTTCTTTAACACTTGTTACTTATACGTCTGAAATAAAAATGTGATTGATTTTTTTCATCAGCACCTTGCATGCATCAAAGGAATTTGGGTAAATGAGGAAACAGTTTTGGGATTTCACAAATTAAGAGACATTTAAAAAAAACACTCCCAATAGTAATGCAGCAATCACAAAAGCAAATCTGGACGGTATAAAGGAAATATCTCAAAATCAAATTCATCTTCGTGCCTCATAAAGCAGCAGTGTAGCTGATGCAGGACCCGGGGGAGAGGCCCTAAACATGGCAGTTTTTCCTGACAAGCACTGCAGAGCCTGGGGAGGTTTCAGGCAGACAGGAGAGCTTGAAGCAGTCTGCAGAGGCCTCCGGGGGGAAGCAGACTGGATAAATAGTTCACTTAGACTCTCTTGCTCTCTAAGAGGTCACCAAGGAAATATGGAAGGAAAATGGAGAGGCTTTATCCCACTCTCACAGGACTGCTGAATGTTTGCATATTAGACTGCTCTATGAATACTGCACACATCTGCTCCGCAACTGAAATGATACGGTCCATCTTACTCATTCGTTCAATCTAAGAAACTACGGTCAAGGTCTTAAAAGTGCCCCTTGAATATAACCTTAAACCAAATCCTGAATGAATCTGTTGGAGGTGGATACTGGTTGCTGTAGCAACACAGATCTATTAAATATAAATGGATATTTGATATCAGTGACCTGAGATATGGCTCTGAACACTGCAAACTGCTCTCCACATGCCTACAGACTGCCAGACAGCATCTCCACCACTCCAATGATTGCTCAGAATGCGCACTCATGAAAACAGATACTTCTTTGACTCTCAAATGAATTCACTTGTTAATCAAAGACATGATACCGGTGTAAAACATCCTGCATCATGAAGACTAAGTGTCACATTTCACAGCGATACAAGTAGCAGTATTAATGGCTATACTGTGTATATTAAGGGTACAAATAAGGATATTTGTATTTGTTTCTTTAAAAATTTTTTTATTAGTTATTGATATTTGCCAAATGGCCTCTCTACTGGATCCACAGTAATGTCATGAAATGTCTTGTTTGACATTATAAAATAATATATGCAATTTTGCTGGTGAGATTTTCGCTTTGAATTTAAAGAAAACTGAAACTAAAGTAAAGTGATATTTTTTTAAGCCTTTTTGTGATAAATTTGACGATTATGGCTACTCAAGATCTCACATAGTTGGAATATTCCATATGACTGATCAAAAAAAATGACTTAATAAACAGAAACATTATATTTCTGAAAATACACTCAGTACTTTACACATTTAGTGTAAGTGCATCAGTGCAGCATGGCATCAGCTTGTGGGACTGCTGAGGTGTCACTGAACCTCAGGTTGCTTTCGTAGCGGCCTTCAGCTCCTCTGTATTTTTTGAGCTGGGTGTTTCTCATCCTCCTCTTGACATTACCCCAAAGTTTAACCAGTAATAACACAGTCAGCAAACAACTTGATAATAGTTTTGGTTCTGTGAGCAGGTACTAATTCTTTATGGACAATAAAATCAGCATATCTATAAAGCTTCTCAGCATGGAGTAGATTTGATAAAATACAGAGGACCAACTATCACCAAGATCAGCAGATGACATGGCAACCAAAATCCTCACAAACTTCACACTGGACTTCAAACACCGCAGACTTCAGGACCTTGACTTCCAAATGAAGTGCAAAATTTGACTTTGCTCTGAAAAGAATACTTTAGTCAACCGAGCAGCATTTGAGCTCTTTTTCTCCCTAGACCAGCTAATACATCTCTCAGAATAAGACCGTGGCAGCTCCTTTCCTAAAGACATCTGTGTTTGACGGCTCTTGATGCTCTGACACCAGCCTCAGTACCCTGACTGTGAGCCTCGAATTGACATTTGTTTTGATTATTGCTTATTCAGACATTCGGAAGACATGCCAAGTCTCTTACCTGTGTTGCTATATTGTTAAAGTTGAACTTTAGCATGGGTCTAAAATTAAAAGATCTTTTTCACCTATGTGTGAATTTAACAATGAGGTGCTGAATCCACAGACTGATTCTGCCATCAGAGTTAAGCCCTCAAGACAAACAGTGCCCTCCTGAGTTGGAAAGGGATCACTGCTCTGACTCTGTCCTCCGATTTCTTGCGCTTTAAAACGAGAATCTGTTAATCAGAGACACGATGTTTTCACGACTGTGGAGCATCAACTGTTCAAACAAAATTACATACCAGTTAAAACAACTTATTCTGTGACATAATGGTTCTTTCGACTCAAATACTGTTAAGCTTATTTTAAATCTTAACTCTGCGTTTGTTTATTCTAAGCCTAGACCTTGTGTGCTTTAATATTTTGTGTACCCAGGAGCACTGCCAAAACAAAACCTCATCAGCCTGCAATTAATGACAGCAAAATCAGGGACAAAGACGGACTGAGCAGCAGTCTGTGTACTGTATTTGCTTTGTGGCTTTTGTCTAAGGCTTTCATCACAGCGCAATACACAGAGCAAACCTGGGCGGCAGATGTCGGCTAAATCCGACCGTTCAAACACGCTTCTACACCTATTCATCTAAAATCAGGACATGAGCTTCTCCTCTGCTGAAGCAGGAGCAGGAAGTCAGTGATTGTGCTTGTATTATATTATACACGCACGTAAATGCTGAGGGGGGAGAGGCGATCAAAGCCTTTGAGGCCTTTGTGTTTGCACAGAAGAGCAATATGTTGTCATCAAGCAATCATGGAAAGGCATTCGTAATCCCTGTGCATCTGTGTACAGCAGGCACTTCCTTTTAATTACATTGAGAAGTCTGTTGCAGCCAGCGTGTGTCACAGGATTTATTTTTTCTATAGATACTGCCACATCACAATGGGTCCTACACATTGTTCTCTCCTTAAATCTATTTGAAAAGAAGTATAGCTGATGTTTTAGTACACTACAAATCATATGTATATGATCTCATTCCAATATAATTTACACTATAAACAATACCTGCAATGCATATAAAATGAACTTTAACCCCTGCCATGTTACTACTTTGACAAGGTCTGGAAAAAACAAACAACTTGTCACCCTCAGCTGAGAGGAAATGGGTTAGGAGGTTAGGTTACTGAGGAACAACTCAGGAAACACCAAGGCTCAAGCCTGCCATGAACTAAAAACTGCTCACACTGTCCACACTGAAGCAGGTCTTACATTGCCATGGACTAAGAGGGGGCTGACCAAGAAAAAAGCCCCTGCTCCAAAACAGACTCCTTCAGGCTCAACTGAAATTTGACAAACCATACGCCCTTTGAAGAAAGGTTTTCAGGTCAGGAGTAAAGCCGAGGCTTTCAAACCTGAAAACACTGCACCAAAGGTCAAGCATAAGTGGTGGTAGCATCACGGTCTGATGCTGTTATGCTGTTATTCTGCTGGTGTTATTGGTACACTGCACAAAGTGGGTGGAAAAATGAACCAGGAGGACTACCCCTAAATTCTTCAATGTTACCTCAAAGCAGCAGCTAGACAGCTGAAACGTGTCGGTTCCAACAGGACAATGATCCCAAACAGACATTAAAACTTGTTTTGGAATAAATCAAGCTAACATTAAGTTTCTGGAACAGCTTTCCCAAAGCCTCGACTTCAACCCTACTGAAAATTTTTGGAACAAGGGGAATTTAATTAAATATTAGTGGAGGTGTATGTATGTATTTGGTACATTGTGTATACTTTTAACCCTGGGGATAAGAAAAAATCCCAAATAAATTTAAACGTACGTGTACTAAACTAGGTGTACTTCACAAGGCGAAGAAAAAAAACCCCCAAACTACAATGAAGGTTACTAAATTTGTGCTAATACACAAATTATATTTCCCTCTATGCAAATGACCTCATTTTAAGGTAGCAGAACTTTAAAATATAATCTACTAAAAATGTATTTTCACAAACTACACTGCTAGCATGCATATTAATTTCTATTTTAGTTGCAGACTATGCTAAAGTGGCATATCCCCACCTACACTGCAGGAAATTAGGTAAATATCTCAGTGGTAGGGCAGGTGTAAATAGATCATGAGCACAAGTTTTGACACCGAAGTTTCAGTTTTGTCATATTTAAATTCCTATTTTGGACTCTTTCTAAGCAGTGACAACCTCTGTACAGTTTTTATGTGACTGGATCCTTCCAGACATGTCTGCACTTTCTGTGACCACACTGAACTGCTCTGGTTTAATCCTATTACGGTACATGTCAAGCACAAAGGGACCTAAGAGGTTTATGTTTCGCTTCCTTACAGAGTGAATCTCTCCCTCTTTCTCTGTCTCTCTTTCAAGACACCAGGAGAGCTATATATTTGATCATTTTGATTCTGTGCTGTTGCATCATCTGTCAAAATAAAGGCCAACTGATAATAAGATTGTCTGTGAGGGCTGAAGAGAAACTGATGATGAATGAAGATCAGGTGAAAGAGATAATCCAGAGATGGGTAAGTCAACAATATTGCGCCATGGCAACACATTTTAGCTGAGGCTATCGTACTCAGGATCTCCTCTCCTGATGTTGCAATGAAGTATGACCTTCAAGTGTGGGGAAAAATAGCATAACGGCTGACAGATTAGCTGCTAGCATTAGAGTATAGAAGAACTGGTGCGTTGGGTGACGCTGCCTTCATTATATCTCGTTTGATCCTCCTCACTCAGTAACATTACAAGAGGAAGTCCATGTTAAATAAATATATTTGTTTCTTAGGGTTTATGCAGGATATCCTGACATCTACTCACACTATACTAGCACTATCTACTGCTTCTGAGAGGAAACTCATGACTAAGCTCAATGGTGTTCATCAGCAATAGTAAACGAAAACATTATGACGTAATATACTGTGTCCTGTATTTAGAGAAATACTCAAGAAGACGATCTGAAGCCTGAGGACTACCAGCAGTTCAAGACTTTGGGATGTGCCAGTCTCAGTGAGGGTGAAAGTCAACAGCTCTTAAAATTCATACAAGATGAGAAAAACCAGGTATTCCTCGTCGTTGCCAACACAGCAGATCAGGGCAGCTGTTTCCTCCGTAGCAGTTACACCTCACAGATATGAAGTGACAGCAGATTGGCAGCGTTAATCTGCCATACAGCTCTAAAAGCACGGCTACACTGCAGGATCGTACCTACTGAAGCAAGCAGCCTCTTGCCTGCTACACAACTATGCTAAACATTAACATGCAGCTACCACTCTGTGCCTCCTAGCCTCTTGACCTGGAGGTGTGCTGGGAAAACAAGCAGATATTCAGTCAGATTTCTCGCTCCACTGATAACCCTCTTCAATACAGCGCTTCTCTAAGTGCCCTTGGTTGTCCCATCTCTCCACGCTCAGTGCAGTTATTTGTAGCCTACATTTAAAGCATGTGTCATCTCTCACTCCTTCCTCTTTCTGAGCTAAAACAATCTCAAGGGCTGCAAATGATTGATTATAAAATGAGAAATCCCTGGATTTTGACTTTCAAAACCATTGCCAAAAAAGAAGCCGCGCGGAGAAGAACAAATAGGTGAACTGACAGTCATGGGATTGCAGCTCTGCAACAAATGATTTTAATAAGAATCTTTTTCCACAGATTATCTATATAGTCTAATGCCTTTTTAAAATTATTTTCAGAAGGTGAAACCTGCACCTTCTTCCACTCCTTTTTCGTGTGTGTGTGTGATCTGGTAGATCACACTTTAACCAGCAGTTGTGAAGATGAAACTGCACTTCTTTTGCATGCATCAGTTTATGCAGCGATGCATGCAAATGGAAAGGAAGGGACTATCAAATTCATATGCCGACAGGGTCGCTTTTAAGGTTCCCGGTGACGTGTACTGATTGCCTATTGTTGCACTTGCAGGTTATTGTGAAATCTATGGGCTGTGTTATACTGGCACCTCTTCTAAACGAAGTTGTAAAAAAAGCTAAGGGTCTGGATCAATACCAAGCTGCCATCACACATCTGACCAGGGTAGGTGCAAGCAGTTCTTCTACATAGTGAAACATGCTCCCCGTGCATCACCTGAAACGTTGCATCTGTTCGTTAAGACTTGCAGGCCAAATGAACTCCTGGATTGCATGCTTGAAATAATTGAAGGCATTGATCCAGGTGCCATTTCCGAGACAATCCTAGCCCTTCTTCCGCATCTTCAATCAGGTAACACAACTAATCATGCAACAGTACTACTACTAAATCAACACAACAGTCTCGGCCATAAATTCTACCTCTACCATAGAAACAAACACAGCTTTTAGGAATAGCTGCAGATTCAGCCTGATTCACCATCATCCACTACAACGGCAATATTAAACTACAATTACAACTTTTTTTGACAACATTTTTAGATTTGCAATAGTAAAAATGAATTTATGGTAGAATTGCTTTTATCGCATTAAACTGCACAGCCATAACCAATAATCAAATGATCCCCGTTAGGCCTGGTAACATTATCAATCGAACAGCTCGGTGGACGCGCTCAGGTCAGTGGAGTCGCTTGCTAGTTTATTAGGTGAGTGGGGAGAGTTGTTATTGCTGTTGTCTAAGCTGACATAAATGCAGTGGATAAAATAAGAAAAATTTAACACGATCCAAAAACACCTCAAACTAATCGGCCAAAATAACAATACGTTTGAATCGACAGTTTCAGCACTTTTGACAAACATTGAACACCTTTACCATCATAGCACCTTTTTTTTTTTGCAGGGTTCTTGTATTAGACAACATGTAGATCATGTGCATCACATGTAGCCTGGTTTACTGAGTGCAGTTACTGCTTCTCCATGCATTGGTGGGTTATGGTGAACAAGTAAATGCTGCTTTTTCTTTTTCTTTAAAGGGCTCCCCCTGCTGTACGCTTACTGTAAACTAACAAACTGTGTTTTTAAACAGTACTTCTCCGACTGGATGAGGGGAAGGCAGCCTGTGTGGGCTCGACTCTGTCGGCCCTGCAGAAGCAGCTGTCCCGGCTGCCTGTGCCTTACACGGAGCAGCAGGAGGAGGCTGATGAGTACGGCCTGTGCCGCTGCAGCGCTGCCTTGACTGTGTTCACAGAACCTTTTGTGGAGGTGGTGAAAAGGACAGACGGAAATTGTGCTGCTACAGCTGAAGATGAGGAGCTAAAGATTGAGCTTCTGAAGTTGTATGTTTCTCTCTGCAACTCTGTTTATTTGTAGTTATTATTATTAATGATATTAAATACAAATGGCAAAGCAAAATGACTTCGAATTGAATAACTGATTGCATTCTCTGTTTAGCTGCATGAGGAGTTTGAGAGAGCCTTTGCTTGAGGCTGAACTGAAGCACGACAGAAGATCACCATTGTGGCTCTTTGCAGTAGAGATAATGGTACGGGCAAAGTCACTTCACTTTACTTCTATTTTTTTTTTATTTAGAACACAACATGTTTTAGTTATTTAGTCCCAAGTCACATGTGTGCATTGCAGGTCACACTTTCTGCAATCAAAGAGCCTCTTCCGGAGCTCTTATTCTTCAGCTCACTGAGGAAAAACATCCTGATGGACAATAATCAGTTCAAGGAGGCAAGAGCATGTCTGGCTTATCTGCTGTTTGTTCAGCTCATTACCATTGACAACTTTCCAGCAGTGTTTAGGTAACGTGAGCAGCCACATTTTACTTACTTAAATTTACTTTCACTAAAAACTATTAATGTTGAACTTTTCCTGCCTTTCTAGCCATGTGTTTATTCTCCAGTGCAACATGGAATACATCAGTCAGCTGCTCAGCAGGTATGCTGTTAACACAACATTAAGTGAACATGTTTTCTGTTTTAGAACAAACTTACAATCAGAGTCATATCTGTGTTTCTCTGACAGCAAAAAAGAATCACATTTGCTCAAAGGATTGGTAAGAGCCCATCAGTATGAAAAACATCTGAAAGCAGAAGACTGAGTTCATTTTAATTGCCCATAATTATCTATTATTAGGCGCTGTTCACAAAAAGCTTGGAGCGTGTGCAGGACAACAGCCTCCCAGTGAGTCTGCTGGATCTGAAGAGCTTCTACAGTGTGACACAGGTAAGACAAGCAGCCGTGCCAGACTCATTTCTATTTCTCAGGCTGCATACACACACAGGCCGGAGCAGCAGAATTACAGAAAAACCTGAGATGTCTTAAGTCTGTTTGCATATTCACTGAGATCACTGTCAGTGCATGCATGTCACTCTGTGACCTTCACCTTTAAGGTCAAGGTCACTGAGATTCAAAACCTGTCCGAGATTTTTCGTGGTTGCTTCTATGGTATGAATTTAAAAATCCTAAATTGGCTCATTCTCGAGCTATTATTTACAAGATTTTTAGAAACTTGACCTTTCCTTGAGTTCAAGGTCACTGAAAATCAAACTCATCTGATACTTTTAGTAGAAGCAATTTCCAAGCAAGCAAATTTCAAAATCCTCATTCTCGAGGCCAAGCTGCTTTAGGTAAAGAACTGACAGTGAACTGTCAATCTGCAGCCTACCTCAGTTTCATAGGGTTTTATGTTTCATTGTTTAGCTGTCACACATAAACCATTTGTTGTTCGCACTCACTGCTCTCAGTGCTTTTATCCTCAGCAGGCAGCTGTTTTCAGTGAAAAGCGCTTAAGAAATCAAAACAAGCTAGTCAAGTAACTTAAGCAACCCAATTGGCAAAAACAAAGGGAGCTCCAAATGAAGCTGAAGAATGCTTGCTTGCACTGCAGGATGGATCCGTGTCTTTAACGTGATACAGCTCTCTGCTCCCCTCTAGTGGCCTAAAAATGTTATTCAAAACTACAAAATAAGCATCAGTTAGTAAGCTGTTTTTTTTAACGTGATGAGACTTTGAGACTCAGCCTGTGAAGTGGCTGTAAACTATAATATTATAGTTGTAACATTTACTGCGATTCACAGCTGTAGCTGACTTAAATGACTCAACCATAACACCGAAAGCTCAGTGAGCTGTTTTGTGCTTAAATTCTCAGAACCTGCGGCGAGTTCTTACCGACTGTCCAATACAGCACTTGGTGAGTGCTTCATTAGTGGTCAATATGGGGAAAATGTTTGACTTTTGCTACACTATAAAAGGCATACATCTGTTCGCTCTTCCGTCTGATCATTGCTCCCCCAGAGAGAATCGGGCCTGCAGGTTTTCCAGGTATTCATCAATAAATTAGATGCAGAAGCAAAGCACAAATTCTTCAGGTGAGAAAAACAGTTTCAATTGCAGTTGCAATTTCTTTCCAGGTGTGAAATTAACGCCCATTATACAGCTATATAAAGACTACTTTAACACTTTATTAAAAACAAATGGCCCACAGCATATTCTTAACTTGTCCCTCTATTAATTTACTGCTGCTTCTCTCCATCTAGCGTTTCCAGTTACACTCCAGCTGACAGATGTTTACAGTATTCTCTTAGTCTTCTAACACTTTAACGTAACGCTTGCTGTTTTTGTTTTTTTTGCTGTTGTTGTAGGTGCATGTTAAAAACCAGCAATCACGCAGGAATAGAAAGTTATATAATCAAGAACATCAGGAATCAATTTGAACTTTCTATGAAGGTGAGAAAAACACGAGAGTCACGCCATAGCCTGCATTTTTTTTTCTCTACACGTTAAATGTACTACAACTCTTTTACAGTGGGGTAACGCCAATGAGTGGTTCTTGGGAACGGAGTTTATTTCACTGATGACACTGGTGCTGTGCTTGCCACAAGGTGCTCAGACAGATTTGCTCAGCAGTATGGACAAGTGAGTAACGAGAAAAGTTTGAAGCATTATTACAGCAGACTGGAGGAGGTGGAACCTGGTTAACTGAAGCACAAAGTCAGTGGAGTGAGACGTAATTATAATTCTTGATTATGGCAAAATCGTAAACATGGATACTTTGGCATGTGCTGAGAGCATAATAGTAGCTTTATTATACTTTAAAAAGAAAAAACTTTTTTTAATGAAGCAAATTCCATTTAACTGTCATTATAATTACAACCTAGACTTTGGGACACCTGGAAATTGAAATAATTACCCTTAAGTACCCCGCCTCTCGCTCTATGACAGCTGGGATAGGCTCCAGCGCCCCCCGCGACCCTGAAAAGGATAAGCGGAAGCGAATGGATGGATGGAATATAGGCTCAAAGGCATCCTTAGAATATTTTGACCTTTGAAAGAAATACAGAAAACCGTATCTGCTACCAAAATACATGGAGTTAATGGAACTAAATTAAAGCAATTTTCAACTTCAGATCTAATCAAGTTAAAAACTATCCTGCAGAGATTCAAAGACAAAAGTCTGTCATTGTGTGAACTGGGAAGCTTCATCCAGATTGAGCCATTAAGTAGCACTCTTTGTTTATCCAGGATAATGGAGAGCCTAAATCTGCTACGCTATGTTCTTATCAGAGACGAAGAGCTGAGAACCAATGTAAGTAAGTCTAATACAAAGCTTTCAGTTAATGCCTGGTTAGGGCAGGACGCTGATCATCTGTTCTGCCTTCCTTTAGGAAGATGTGTGGGAAGAGTTGTGCAGGATCAAAGAGGAATACCTAAAAATGCTGCGTGTATGTATCAGCATATCAAGAGCGTATTATTCCTCTGAACTGAAAGCACTGAGGGAGGACCAAAAGCTAAAAGCAAAAGGTAGGAATTAGCTACTAATCTGTGTGACAAAATTCCAGTGAAATAAGCTTTACACGAATAGTTTAAGAGTCTATTTTTATACTGTCAACACTTCCTATTGCCCAGAAGCCAGAGATGCTGCTCGACCCACTAAATTAGTCAAAAGCATCACAGTAAGGAAGGAGAAAGTGTCCAACATGTCCCCGGAGGTCCAGCATCAGGTCAGGAAAACTCTTCTAATTTAATAATTTTCATTTATGTTTTGGACTCTACGACTAGCAAGCTGACTTTTGTCATGTTTCTCAGGTGCTGCAGAGTGCTTTGGTGACATTTGACCTCATGGAGAGTCTTATAGTCCGAATCGAAGAGATCACAGAGGAAAAGCAGAACAAACTAAACTGAGGCTCTGAATTCAGACCCTTCAATATTTTTCTAAATATATCTTTATTTGGTTTGCTTTGTTTGACTGAATAAAGTGTGTGCTTATATACAAGAATGTATACAAGATGATACTATATACTGAAATGTCTGCTTTTCTATGTTCAGCACATTGGGCTCCTGCTGGTTAGCATTAAATAAAACATGTCGAATCACCTGCCTGGTTTTGCAGCATGTCTCTTAACATTTCCCACACAGGACTGCTTTCAATGATGTGAGCCCGAGCCAGAGAAATCCGGTCCCGGATGCTGTCTACATGGGGTTTACTGGTGGCCTGCAGGAAGGTGTGGCTTAATTTAATTCAAGGTTTCACAAGGACACATCAGTTTATCTCATTTATATTTAAAATATACCAAATAGCTGCACCTCCATTGTTACCTTGGCAATTGTTAACATCCCTTTAACAATTTCATCAGTGTTTTGCACAGGCAGGATCCTGAGATTGCTGCCAAAGAATCTGCAAGAGATAAAGACGTCCTTAGTACAATATAGTTATTCTGTTTTCAATATAGAACCTTTAAAAACAAAATCCACAAATTCTTTGACAGACAAGAAAAAAAGCAAAGTTAGGGGAGATAAAATACAAAAAAGATACCAATAGCAATAATGACAATTAAAAAAACAATTACTCTGAAAATACTTAGAGAGTCATAAATATCTATGGTTGATTTTTCAGAGGCTATTTATTCTCCTGTAGCCTGCTTATTGGTTTGAATATGTAGATAGCCATATAATCAACATAGAAGTTACTGTAGGTGGACAAATTTCAGGTTGGCAATCAATAGACAAACTAAATAATAAAGAACCCGGGGCTGACCCATGAGGTACTCCGACATCATCATTATTATATCCTCAAGCTGCTGTCACAAAGCCTTGTAACCAGAGCGTTAGAATCAGTTAAGTAAAGCAAAAATGACACAACATGACTATTAATCTACCGGTTTTGAATCACAGTCAGCGTTTCCAGCTCCTTTTTTCCTTTAAATGGTGAACGAAGGAGTAAAAAGCAGTTGCGGTGGACTTGCACAAATTTCTTTATCCTCTCAAAGACTCCCGATTCTTCAGAGGGCTCTGGGAGGTCTTGCGGGTCAACCATCAGGAATGCAGTACCTGCAATAAATAAAAAACAACAACAACAAAAAAACCTCACACACACATATATATATCTGTAAGTATGGGCTTTAATTCTGCCACAATCAGGGATCAGACCAAACGAGTTACACTCACACCCTCTCCTCTGGTGCTAAATTAATGTATATGTAGGAGTACTTTTTACTTAATCACTTGAAACATATTTTGATGCTAAAACATTCCCACTAGGCTACTTAAATAGGATTATGACTTAAGTAAAGAGTCTAAATCAGGGGTGTTAAACATAAGGCCCAGGGGCTTTAGGACAGCTTTAGAAAATGTGAAAGAGTGCAAAGATTTAGAACTTTTGACTGCATTTTCATAAGTTTTAGAGCTTTCCCAGTTGATATAAACCCCGAACCCCCACTACCATCACACTAAACCAAAGTATGAGGTCATTTACTGTGAACAATGAAAACTTTACACTACATTATTAAAATCCACTGAGTGTCTTATAGAAAACAGAATAATGTCTTATAGTGGGTTATAAAATACACGGCAGGTGTACTGGGGGACTCGGGTTTACCCGATAGAGGAAAAATGAAGGCTCCGGGATGAACACTGTCTGAAAACCTGATGCGGTGCTGCTGAGCGTTTAGCATCCTAATGATTTCGTGGCTCTGTGGAAACAAAATGAAGATAAGTTAACTGCTAGCATCGTTAGCTGGTACAGTTCTTTATTCAAAGTCAGAGGTGGGCAAATAACTAATATTTCACGTATTTTGTCGGTGCTAGTGCCTTGGCTTCATGGCTAAAGCTCTTTATGTTAACTTATTTTTTTTATAACTGGCACCAGAAACCGACCGAGCAAAACATTTTGACGGTTCAGGTTAAACTTTCTAACATTACCTGAAGCGATGTGCTGACAATAATCGTTGTTTTCCACTGAGGAGTCCCTTCTCCGCATGTCGCCATTGCCTGCTAGTTATTAGCAAGTGAACGACACGGTTCCGATGACGACACTCTCAACCCGGTTTTTGGTCCAAAGCTGTTCCTGCAGCGGATTCAGCCGTCTGTTGTGTCATGCCACCAGGACGCCACCAGGGGGCGCTGCAGTAAAACGTAACGTCCTGTTCATCGATAAAAGCGTTTGTTTTGTTTAATTTCCCTTTCTCCTTTAAATGGGGCATGAAATAAAAAGTTCCTGTAATTATCTGCCATTCCAAATACCAGCTTTTTTAAAGCTGAAGTTAAAAAGTGTTAAGTTTAAATATGGACCAATTTGTAGACTTCAAAACTTAAAATATTAAAATTAGACAAATGCTGGTCGATTTTGCTGTCATGCAATTAAAAATAAAGTTTGGCACGTGCAAGTGCTAATGCATATTTATATTTCTAGCCGTAGTCTGAAAAAAAAATGCACAAAGTAGTCAACTTGACCCAAAGTTATTAATCACACTGCTCATTTCTTTCAGAAACACAAACTTTTATTTTCAGTATGACACTAAATGCAAGCCATGAGGCTAATTTTATTCTTCTTTAAGAAATTCAGTTCTTATTATAATTAGAAGACTGTCAACAAAGGATTTTTCTGAAAAGGAAATATAGTTCTGACCCTTATTCTTTTCTAGAGCTTCTGAAGCAACACCAATGAAACAGTCAAACATACAAAAATGTCAGCATGCATAACAAGCCTGTTTGTGTTGAGAAACAGCCCAATAAGGGCACTATGAGGAATGCAAATAAACAGAATCCAGAGTTCCGTAGAGTCCAACAAAAGACACCAGTCATAAGAACAGAGACAAAATGATATTTTAAATTATAATAAAATAAGACAAAAATCAACGTAATGACATTCAGTTCAAACAGAAGGCGTCAACTGTCCGGCAGGGCTCTCCGCTGAAGTCAGTGATGTGTTTCTAGCTCCACGATGGTCCACTCTCCCTGTGGAGAAGCAGCATCTTCTGGGGAGAAGCTGGTTACAGTAATGCTAGTGGAGGAGTCCTCCATGGGTGAGATAAGCTCCGCCCAACGTTTGAAGGTCTCCTTCTCTGGGGACAGGAAAGCCTGCGAGTCCAGACAGTCACGTGACAGAGACAGAGTCTGCTTGATAAGATACTGGGCCAGGTTGAGCTCCTCAGGTACAGGGTTTATGACACCCAAATTGGACGCGTGGTCTGTCAGGAGCTGCTTGAGCAGGCTCCAGTCCCGCTCGGCAAAATCGCTGCTTTTATCCCCATCCCCTGTTTGCTTTTCTTCCTCTGCTTGCCGTTTAACATTCCTGTCCTTGTCCGAAAAGTGCTCAATAGCTTCCCCCACATCCATCTCGTAAATGGGGGACAGGGCTTTGGATGGTCGGCGGTCATGTTTGCAGCTTTGATCCAATCTGTCACAACCAATGTCCCCTAAAAACAATTGACAATACTGCACAATGACAAACTGAATCATTCCTGCACAGGTCTTTTACTCAAATCAGAGACTAATCGCTGCAAACTAAAATAAAAAACATGACAGAAAATTTACCCTTAATGCAACTGTTCCCTTTAAAACACACAACAACAAAAAAACAAACAAACAAACCCCACAAAACCCCGTAGTGATGTCAGGTGACGACAACACAGTGAGCGAGCAGTGATACTGATGATCACATATGATTATCACCACAAATTTCAAGTTCATCAGTTCAAAACTCACTCATCACTTTAGATATGCACGTCAAAAGGCAAACAGTTGCTTTGAAGGTAATGTACAGAGGTTTGCTTTGCAGGATGCATCTCTTTATCCACCTGTTCAAACAAAGTAAGCCATGCACTACCAGCACCAGTGAGCTTTGCATTTGCCAGAAAGTAACAGTGATATGTTTTGATATTCACGTGCAGGCAGACGTAAGAAACAGACTTAAATACTGTCACAGAAACCGAAATGCGAGCAACAATGCTTTTACTTAGTTGCACAAAAGATGGCATAACACCATGTTTCTTTAGACATTCTCTGTCTTCTCTACTTTTAACAAATTACAAAAATGGCAAAAGACTGATAATTACAAAATATTTCATGGTTGCATAGGGATAAACCCTTGGAAGTGGTGCAGCAGGACTTCTTTTTCAGGAATATGATAGTGAAAAAAGAGAGACATGGCAGGACAATGAAGACTGCTCTAGACACACGTTACGTACGTTACAGAGGAGGCTACTGACACTACACAAAACCTACTGAACAGAAGTGTATAGACAACAAAACACTTTCCTTAAAAGATGGACCTCTACGTGTCTAGACACAGGTCTACTGGGTATGATGGAAGATGATGGAAAAATCAAAATATAAAACATAAATAAAGGATGGTGCTGATAATGATAAAGCAATTTCAACAACGGCATGCATGTGTGCTGTGCAAAATTGAAAAAAAGGTAAACAAAAGTCAGAAAGAGGTACAATCTTGAATACAAATAAAAAGAAACAGAAAAGCCAGGGAAACGTTTCCTAGCATAACAATCTTTTCTGAGCAGCAGTGGCAGTTTGGTGTCATCTACTTTGTACAAACAGTTTGTATATTTGGACTTTTAAGTCAGGTAGTTACTCTCCAAAGATTTGGAAGAAAAAGGAAAAGAAAAAAAACCCTAACAAGTAATTTACCTGATTACAATTTTGAAAAGGTGCTACGTATAACATTTTAACACCAAAAAAATAAAAATAAAATCATCTATGAACAACAAAATAAAACATCACTCCGCTGCAGTTTCACTCCCACATGATTCTCAGTCTTACTGAAGATTTGAGGTAATCTGTTTCCATGTAATAAGACATTGAACATCTTTTATTACAGTCTGGTGTTTCCATGCGTAGAAGCACTTAAGTGCAACATTGTGACAACCATGAAAGTGAATCAATGCGCCATGCATTAGTTTTTCTTAATGCGTCTCTTTGCCATGTTTTTGCTCAGAAGATGGATGTCTACTGTTCAGTGCAGCAGTCATTGTTATAATGTTGTGCTAAATCCTCTCCCTCTTTTTAAGTACTTGTACTTTTATTTTAAAAAAACAAAAAACAACAACAAAAAAAACAACCCTGCAGGGGAACAGTGGAGCT